TAATGTATATAAATATTATTTTAGATTATATTCGTTATATATAAATTTAATCTTTATATGCTCGGAATTATTTTTCTTAGAAGATTTAAAAATATAATTAGAATTAGAATGACTATGTTTAATTAAACATTTTTTTTTTTTTTTTAAACATGGATGTTGCTTGAAAAAAAATAAGTTAACGTTAAAATTACATGAATTGCTTTTGTATATGATAGTAGTTGTTTTTTGTTTTTTATTTTTTTTGAATTAACATAATAATATTATTATTTATTATAATCACGGTTATTTACTAATTTTCTTTAACATTTCTTTTCGCCATTTTCTAATACGTAAGTGTTTACGACTCCTATTATTTTGCATAGGTGGTTATTTAATCAAATTTTGATTTTTACCGTATTCCTATATAATTATTGAAATGTCAATTATTTTTATAAATATGTGTTAAATATTTAACCTAATCTATATGAACAAACTTTTTTGGTTTAATTGATCTTTATAAATATTAAAAGCATTGTATCAGTATTGTGCCACTAATATAATTTTTTTGGTGTCCTTTTAATACTTGTGCAATAATTTACTATCGAGGACTGTGGAGTTCAATACACCGATGTGCGATGTTGTAATAGAGACCTACTGAAATGTGTACGAAGTGACAAAAATGTTCGTATTGTGGGTTGATAAAATTGGTAGTAGTGGGTATATTGTATAGTGTGGGGACCATTATATAAATGGGGAATTTTGTAACCGTTGATACTGTGGGTTGGCTTTTAGCTATTATTCCGCGGCGTGTCGTATAGGCAATTCACCTGCTCCCGTGTGTTTTTCATTCGAAAATGTAATTAACTATTATTACGACAATAATAATAATAATAATAATGACTACACATTACAACCAAAGCTACTGTATAATATGAATAGGTACAGTATGTACCATATCGGTAGGTAACATAAAGGCAACATTAGTAATGTGATGACATGTAAATAAACAAATAAGATGGAATAAAATAATATATTATGTGGATAATAGGTATAATTTAACTTAGTGGTTTTCAACAATTATCTTATTTTGTATTGTTAGAAGCGTATGTTTCGTATTGATCAACGATTGAAATTCTTTATGTTTTTAATTTATCGTCACTTCAAAACATCTATTTTCAAACATTCACTGTTTTAAAAATTATTTAAAAATGTTTTAATGCTTTGTAATTGTTTTAAAACGTGAGCCATTTTGTATGTTAATTTACGTTTATCATACCGCTTTGTATATCTTGTTTATTATTATATGTTTACCTATAATTGTTTCATATATTTACATGTTAAACTCTTATTTCTATAATTTTAATTTTTGTATAGTATGTGATATTTTAAATTGAGGCAGTTAAATTTGATTTTCTCTTGGTTGGCATATTATAACTTTTTTCCTTTACTGCTAAAGTTGCTTCGGTTAATATTTAAATGCTTAAATTTCCGGTAGATAACTCAGATATTTCTCGCACCGCAGATGCACCAAGTGCTGACAGTTAATGAATAAAATAAAAAAAAACGTGTTGTATATATATTATAATTATGAGTTAACAAGATATAGTGTTTACCAGTACGTGATGTGAAGTGATATATTTTTACCTAGTTGTATATAATTGAGTGAAAAACAAAGAAAAACGCGTATCGCAAACCTGCAACGAGTTTTGTGTATACCTTACTCTTAAAATGTTCAAACATGACACGCTGTTTTTGGAGTACCTTTAGCAAACATAGTATATAAAAGTGAACCTTACCTACTTGAATTGTGTAGTATGTATTATATTATATAGTATATATATAGTAGCATAATATTGTATACTTAAAGGGTATATAGTTTCGGGCGTGTAGTGCTGCACTATATACGAGGTAGGTTACGACCTTCTTTTAATTGGAACGGTATACGATCCGCGCTCATCGTCCCTGTTGCCAGTAACGGTCGTTCAATTTCGGTGGGTAATATCATTATCACCGTGTTTACCGCGGGTTTCATTTAAGACGCGTTGCAGGTCGCCCGCACGTTGACGATCCGGTGGAGGTACGTCCGTTTTCAATGAGCTTAACACACGCGACGGTCATTTCATCCCTTATTCGTCCGCCACGCCTACCCTCCAACCCCACCCCATGCACCTTTGCGTCGAGGTCGGGACATCGGCAGCGCGGGACTGTTGCAAAAGTCCTAATTTGTATGCGGTCCACGTGCGAACACTTGGCGTTTGGCAAACAACACGTTGCGACCTTTCCGTATATATCTATCCGCTAGCAGCTTCGCGCACTGCTCGAGTTCGTGTACTCCCATCCTGCAGCACCAGGACTACCACGGCCGTTGCAGGGGGCAGTTTACTTAATAAAAGGCGCTAAGCCGCGAAAGAGGATTCCATGTCCCGCGCGCTCCGTGTAAAACTCCTCTCGAAATATCGTCATGTGTATAGGTATATAATATAATATATAGCATGCGTATGTGCTAGGATTGCATTCCGAAAGGGTATATATCCGTATTCCCCGTATTCTTCGATTTATACCTATAGGTGTGTATTTACACATACAAACGCAATATGTTTGTTTGTGTGTGTGTATTATATATGGATAGATACACGCACGTCTCTGCTCGAGGATTAAAAAACACCGGAAAACTACCCCTCGTTTCATTATAGTATTCTACCGTCGCATCGACGTCCTGTGCTCAGTGAATGTGTATTATATATATATATATATATAAATACAGTAGGACCAGCTGTTTGATAAATAGACAGCGAAATTGGTCGATGCGGTGCAGTAATCCACTTTGAACGGACACCATATTTTGCCTTCGTGTCTACTCTTCCCTTTCGCCGGTCGTGACGTGAAAAACAATCGGAGAAACTAACCGAACATTTTTCCTCTTTTCGCTTCTCTCTCCCTCTGTATATATCTATATAGTATATATATAGATGACGGTGTTGGTTATGGTGGATCGGCGAGGGTGACACGTTGGACTAATGTCCCTTAAACAAGATTTTCCGCTCCCTGCTCTTAATCATTTTTTTCTTTTCTTTTTTTTAAAGAAAACACAATTACTGAACGTATTGTTAAATCCTTCCATCGTGTTCTGTAATTATCATCGCGTTCGTAAAATATTATAGTGTCTACCTAATTTGAAATTTAACAATAACAGAGGTAATTTATTTTGAATATTATTTGCGAATTTAACTCTACTAATAATTCAGTGTTATTTTTTTATCATCCTATACATCTATTGTTTCTTATTTACTAATGTCAATTAAAATAGGTACAAATGTTAAATGCCAAACTTAAGTTTTCGTACACGCAAATGTTATACACTGATGGCTCGTTTTATGTACCTAGGTATACAATGTTATAAAATGTATTTATTTATTTTTATGAGTCAAATAAAAAACATTTTAACAAATAAATAACAATTTAAAATATTCATGTTTTTGTGTATGGTAGGTATATATTCTGTTTAAACTTTTTTGATTGTTGTTAAAAAATGAATCGTTTTATCTGGTAGGTATGAGTAGCGTATGGCACAATAATAAAATATATTAACATGTTTTATACCTGTCAAAACTCAGTAATATGACAATAGTTTTATTGTGAAATTTGTCCAAATGAATTGATGCTTTAACTAAAATCGAGTCAATCAATTATGCATGTCATGGTAGTATTAAAAATACGTTGTGTGTTCACATCACTTTTTTTACTCTTTTGTTGAATAATGGTTTTAATTAATGTAGTAACTTTGTGGATTTTTAAATTATTTTCAAAGTCTTTTGTTAAATAATTTTACTTTTTATTTTACATTTTAATGTAAAATTAGATAATTAAAGTATTAGATGTAAAAGTTTAAACTTGTTTGAAAATGGTTCAATGCCAGTATATTGTATAGAAATTTTGTTCCTATAAATTGCAACTCACAATCGATTATCAATGTTGACTTTTGACGTTATTTATTTTTCTTGTATTATCGAATGCGTGATATACTTTTTAAACCTTTTGGGAAATAAAGGTTGAAATAAACTCGAGATAGGTATGTGTCTTTTCTTTTGGACACGTCTCTTTGTAATTTTTAGCACAGAATCGTTTCTCAAATGCGTAAATCTTTAGATTATTTATCTTGCGAAATGTTTTATGACACGGTTTGTTGTATGTTTCTTTTAGGATGCTAAAAACTTTTTCAAATTCATCGTTTGTATATTGTTTTATGTCGAATAAATAGAAAATAAATATTGGTGTAGTACTTGTGTCCATTTTTTTATTGTGTTATAGAGATTTCTTTTATATATTCGTTGTATAAATAAATGTATACCTACTACGTGTATAACTACAATGCATTGTGTAGAGTCGAATGTACATATTTTATAGCTTAAACATTTTAGTAAGCTTTATCCTAATACTGGTATATTTTTATGTGTTGTAATACCGACGGGAATCGAACATTTTACAACATAAAGATGTTGATTTTGTGTTATTTTCAAACTATGTACAACTAACATAAGCTGCATGTTTTTTCTTTTTATATAATTTTATATATTTTTTAAATTGTTTGACGACCTATCTATACACTTACGTTCTAATATTTGAAAAACTAAAAGTAATTTGCGGTCATTCAGTGGAAACTCTATATACTTATAAATGAATAATTTAAACTAATTTCGTGTAATTTATTATTCAACCAGCTGCGCTTCAGAGGCGTGTACCTACTTTGCTTCTTTTTTTTTTATCTTTTTGTTGCAACTTTGCGTTTTTTGTTCAATAATTAATCGTGACGCGTAATGTTTGCCATGATATAATCTCGTATATATATATAACTGTCCAAGGCTTTCCTTTATAAAATATAAATAATAATAATGGCATGAAGCATCTTGGCAAAGGTCGTTCATCTGATAGCGTATAAACATTTTAATAATAATTTATAATATTATAATGTAGTTGCTCTTGGTCGGTGAAAATTAATATTTTAATATGTTGTCGTATTGTACATGCGTTTTAAAGAACCGTTGTGCCGCAGCCGCCTCCACCGAAATGTCGACGACGGACTGCGTGGCCTCACGGCGGTGTTGGCGGTGGTGATGATTGTTAGTGCGATGTCGAGCGCAAACGTGACGGACGACTGCGGCGATAGCGAAAGCTGCAGCGGCACAGTAGCCGTGTCCACAGTCGCTGCAGCAGCCGAACACGATGCGTCGTCCCCAGAAGACCAGCTGCTGTTTCTTAAGGTAAGAGGAGACGCCGTGGCGGACGCTTCGTCGTTGACTTTTGTGGTTTTCTCCCCGGCTGCGTGACACCACCCCCTCACAAACATATACTGTTGCTGTTATCGTACCCGAACGACCGGAATCGAAAACCAGCAGCCTGCAGAGTGCTGGCAAACAAAAACCACCAAACCGTCGGGTACACTTCCGGAATAGGGACTAGGGTGGTGGTTGCGTCGTTCGATTGAGAGTCCAGCAGCAGCTTTAAACAGCTTCCGGAGGACAAATAAAGTACACGAACTGAACGTTTCAATAGTGTGCGTTTGTATATATATATATCAGGTGATCCATTTAACGTAAGGCGTTCATTATTTCAAAAACATATATCTTTTTCTTTTTTCTTTTTATAACATATATTTGGAATTCCTTATTCCAGACAAAATATTGTTTTAAGTACAAACCAATTTTAGACTAGTAGTTTCTGTGTTATAAGTATTAATAGTTTTGATGATCGGAGTGAAGTGGAGTACTACCTATAGGTACCCCACAAAAGTTGGTCTGCAACTCCGCTTGTCTAAACTTTAAATACTTATAGCTACCTACTCAACTACTTGTCCGAAATTTGATTTTTGGAGACCAAATGACTCCAAATAATATTTTGCTTAAAGGTCCCTGCAGCGGTGGCTTTAAATTGCTTTGAGACACATTTCACTGCTCATCGCTGTGGTAAAGCCAAGACAATAGAATTTAACGCCACCGCAACCTCTGTAGTGTGTGGAGACTTTTAATATGAAATTAAAAATATAGATTATTGTCATTCAAAAATGTAATTTTGTAACGACTTAAATGTATATAAAATAAATATTTTAAAAAACGTTAGTGTTTCCTGAAATAATGAATGTCTTACTTGAAATGGAACTCCGGGTAGACGCACTACTAGAACTGTTGAATTTCAGAAGTATTATTATAAAATAAAAACGAATGTAATTTATTAGAATGTAGTAGGTAACCCTACCTACTACATTATAACATGCTGCTTATATTTAAAAAAAGTTCGTCTTAAGCACATTTTTCTCGTTTGTCTTCTACTACCTACACTGTTTATAACTTAGTTAACAATTTCTTTTCGAATTTGGTTTTTGGCTATCGTTAAAGCACGTGTTGTTTACCACTCCACTGTTCCGTGATTACTAAGTTCAGACAGTGTTTTTAAACCATTATCAAGATGACTTTTTTAAATTGGCCTTTTCACTGCTTTACCTTTTATATAATATATTTCGTTCGGGCCCCGCATGACATTGTAAGTACACTTCAGATATCGCAAATTTCGTCGACTATAACATACAGGTAATATTATATTATATCACATAATATTATAATATATATTTATACATGTCATTTTTGAACACCACTCGACGGCATATTAAATTATATTTACTCATAAGTCATGTATCGCGTATTGCCGTCTGTCGGCGTCGCGTCTCTGCTTAAAGGTGTGCGCGTTTGTGAAACTTTTCGAACGATAAAGTTTGCAAAAGTTTTCAACTGGAGGAGCAAAAAAAAAAAATAAATAAATAAAACTAAGAATCGACCCCCCCACCCCCGAGGTGGTGGCGGATACTTCAAAACCAAACTGCGACCATATTATGAGTATTATTATAATCCAGTATTTTGTCGTAAACTTTCTATGGGAGATACGATGCTGTATTTTTAATCATCAAATCTTGTGACATCGTTTTATTCTTAATCCCGCCATGATATTATACCGATAAACTTCGTGTAATTCGTTTTTTGTTTTTATTTTTTTTTTTTTACAGCGATAATCGAAAATTACAGCTCAAAGTTTGGGCGTAAAAGATAATAAACATGCAAATCTTAAATAATAACTGCCGTTATAAAATTTCGCAAATTTTAAAGAATGATCAAATTAACAATTTATATAACCTTTATAATGTATTTTGAAAAATATAAAACGCAACACTGCTGTGTATATATTATATTCTGGCATATCTTAGTAACCGTGTCGCCGAGCCATTATTTTTGTTTGTTTTCCCTGTGTGCAGTTGCTCAAAATATAAAATTACAAGAGCAAGCGCAAACATTAGTGCTCACGTAAAGTCTATATTTAATTGTACTTATCTTAAAAATACAGGCGCAATAACAGAATAACAACGGTCGTCTGATTATTATTAATTGGCTGTTGTTTTAAATATTAAAATAATTATTAATATATTATACATTTGACCTTTTAATACGTATAGGCAGTTTTATTTTGTGTTATGACTTATGAGAAGTGTTTTAAATTAAATATAATAACTTGTATTTATATAATGTTATAATTATTTATATTATATTGAGGAACTTCTTTGTGTCACTGCGATGAATACCTATGATCAATTTATAATTGTTATCAAATAACTGGATAAACTATAGTGTACTATACGTACGTCTGTATATACACAACATCTTATTCTGATTCATTGATGCATTCAAAAATTGCTAAAATGCAGGTATAAATTATAATTTTAATGAATGGTAAATAAATAGTGATACCTAAATGTTATCCTAATCATAAATATCGTATTAAATAATTTATATTATAGGTATTATAGAGCCTGAAATCGTGTAAAATGGCTGATGCCATATTTCAAGTAGGAATAGGTAATTATTATAGGTACACCAGTGCGTGTAATAATCATATTTTTTTTTCTACTTTAAAGCTAGACTTAGGTATATTTACCTAATATTCTTAAGTATATATATTAATATACGTAGTTAAATAGATTTCCCTTAGAGAGGTGCATTGGAAATAACTGTTTCTTGTAGGTACCTATATACTATTGTTCTGCATGCAAGCTTTTTTTCCGTGGGTTTTATACATTACCTGGGGATACGTAGGGACCCTTAACTATAATTGCACGCCACTTGATTTACACACTGAAATCGTCACTGTGTATGATTTATATTTACATTCATACTTATACCTATATATATATAAACATATACTTGTTATTTTTTTTGTTCGTCGTATTGCTTCGCCACAATAGCAATAATCCCTTAGAAGGAAAGTCGTGTTTTACACGGGACATAAATAATCCCCATCGCATTGCGTATTGACATAGGGAGGTAGTGGCGCTGCTCGTACGATAGCTTTTGTTTTCCACACGCGCACAATAAACGTAGAGCTTTTATCGAGGAGGGAGTGGGTGAGCGGATAAGACGGAAGAGTGCGATCAGGGTAAGAAGAGAAAGGACAGGCAGAGAGGAACTGATATTATATTGGATGTGCCGAGTGAATTTCGGATTTTCAGTGTTACACGATTATATATATATATATATATATATATATATTTACACACACACATCGTGAAAGCCTGCTATCATCCCTCTCTTGGGGCGGTAGACAAAAGGAATCATAATTTTGTGAAGTCGTTACACGTCGATAGGCGGATGGTATCAATTCGCTGTCGATGGTCTTCGTACAAAAGAATAAATTTAATTACCCGTTCGTGAGTTTATGTTTCAAAGTTTGTTTCGGACGTATCGAACACTATTGAAAACTCGAGAGTAATCCGCGCTGAACCGCTGCGTATTACATTTTATATGATAATGTATTAATATATATATTCCAGTGTTATAGATATACATAATCTATAACACTGGAATATACATACACGTTAAAACTTTGTGGAGTCCAACTGTTTTGAAATTGCTGCGTTTAGATGGAGTATATTTTACAATCGCTGCAAGCAGAATAATTTTTAATAGATAATTGAGAACTTAAGAGTTTTTTTGATGCATTATTGTTTCAGAGAAATTATATGAATTTGGCATGACATAATACAACGCTTGTATATTGTAGAAGTGTATATTATCTTTATCTATATAGAATAATCATTACATTTTCCATTGTTCGGTGATGGTCGTTATGACCGATTGTCCCTATGGGGACGGTGATAAACGTGTATATATAAATGTGTATATAATATATTTATATATAATTTGAGTGTTGTTTTCCACTTCCTTGCAGTGCAGTCCCCAACTCTAGAACAGTGCCATCCCTCAAACCACTGCACTCTGGGAGGGAGGGATTCCAGGCTATTTGCACGCTGGTAACATTTTGTTTTGACTGATTTGGGTGGTTGCCGTGCGTCTGTGGGTGCCAGCGAGTGATTGAATTAACGCGCAGAATGATCGATGTGTAATTTAATTTGGTATATCATCGTGGTGGGATGTGTCGGAAATAGTTTATAAGTAGCAATGTAATTTTCATAAACGCGTTGTGTGCAATACAACTCGTTGATCGTAACGTTTTGCGGTGCACAAATCGGAGGAAATGCTTATTAATTTATTATGGATACGGCTTAGTTATAGGACCTACGTGTTTGAATTAGAGCCGCCGTGCATTAGGTATACAGAAATAATATTTATTTGTTTTTAGTTTGTGTTAATAAAGTTATATATCGGAGTGAAATATTTTATTTATAAAAATTAAAAAAAAATATACTGTAATATATTATATTTATTTATTGTAGTTGGTACCATGTTTACGGTATAGTGCAGATTACTATATTATTGTCACCGCATTATATTTACTGTAACGAAATGTTTGTACTTTGTACAATATACATTTATATACTACCTACACAATTTATGTCTTATTAATGATAATACGGCTTTAGTAAATGATAAAAATAGCCATTATTTACCACTTACCACTCACTATATGAACGTGATGTTGTTATAAACGTAAGGGTAGATATATAATCTTGCATGTGTATTTCGATTCTAATTTTCCTTCGTTTGTGTGTCGTATATTTTATCACAATTTTCTTTTACGGTCGCTTTATCTTGAATCAATGACAATGATGTGTACGATTTATGGAATACCAACTGTCAAAACTGTTACGAACTGTAAAGTTCTTGTTCGTTGTTTTGTCGTCCCTCACGCACCTGCACGGTACAATAAGATATCGGTTGTAATTGGACTCGAGCTTTGACAAATTAATGTTTTCGATGTACGAATAATGACGAAAGACCTAGCACATTGCAATAATATAGGTACATCCAACTTATCATGCAACTATAGG